TTAAGATTGCTTTGCAACTGAAAGAATATTTGCATTATAACTCGAGGACTGAGTTTCAATGTGTTTTTACAACCGTTGTAAGTAATACATTTATATTACATACCACTATATGACTTATATAAAGAGAGTTAATAAGTTTTTCTCATCGAAAACATCGGCTCTTATCGACAAACTTTTCCGTCAACTATTCGAAGTTCTGTTGAAGTCCGCGCGCTGTAATGCATTTTATTTCATCTATCTGCTGGGAAAAGTCTCTGGGTATTTCATTTATTCCGTGCTATAAGTTTGTTGTAACACAACGTTTTAGATGACTTTGCCAAAGAAAATTATTTACAAAAAACATACATACCTACTAAAATAATGAGGAGTTCGCTGACAAGAGAGTTAGGAGGCCTATGCTTTGATCTTGCGATTACTAATTAGAAACGCTTATAGCGACTGCTTACAAAGTCTACCACCCAAGTAGTGGACCTTAATTATTGATACAAAGAAATTAAAATTGTGCATTTCACGGTTCTAGTTCTAACGTGCCTAATCCACGCGCACTTAAATGCGACCATAGAAAGAGGAAAGTTACTTTTCAAACTGTCACTAAGATGTTATCAATACTTAAAGACTGCTTTATTAATAAAAGTAGGTTTCTACCAACATCAGTGATTCAATAAGGCCATAATATAAGGATAATGCTTAACGTAGGTTCAGACATTCCAAATTAGTATTCTATGTGAGTAACCAATCTCTTTAGACAAATATTCACTGAGGCCGCAAATACTGGCAATACATAAATCCGAAGTGTATAATCGGATTTTCTGGAATACAATGGTTCTGACGTTTTGATTATGGCACATCACGAACATTGCATTAATTATAACAATTGTTTTGTTACTAAAGTCGTTGAAGGGACTCAAGGACTATTGTATAACTTTAAATATTTAGTTAAACGAATGTTTATACAGTCGAACATATAACCTCCTCCTTTTTTGAAGTCGGTTAAAAAGGAGAATTGGGGTTTCCTGCAATCAATCATTTAACTGTCAATAGCAAGCTTCGCGGATATTCCATATTTTTAATTCTAGTGAAATACTCATACTCGTACATACATGGATACAGTATACAAATTAATGTGGGTCTTGACCCAAATTTAAATAATTCCTGGTAAACGGGTTTTAAGCGGAAGCTGTGAGTCACTAAAAAGATAATATACTTTCAGGGGAATGGTGTTAAAAAGGAGTTTTTACAACTAAAAGCGCATTTTCCTCCAAAAAATTCATAAAGGTTTGGGTAAAGATGATGGTGTTTTTTTTCTTTAATGACTATTCATGAAAACAGTAATTAACGTTAGTATCTCTCCATACTAATTTATCTTAGAGATCTCCTGTGACTTTGGATGAGCATTAAAACAAATAATATTGTCAAAGACGTCATGACCTAACTACACCATAGTATAAAACAAAGTCGCTTTCCGCTGTCTGTCTCCCAATGTATGCTTATAATTATCTTTAAAACTACGTAACGGATAGAGTGATTCAAAAGGAAGGTTTTTAGTAAGTATAATACATTGTAACTGTGCGAAGCAGGGGCGGGTCGCTAGTCAGTTATATTCATCTTTTAAGACACTGTAATTAATGTAAGTAGATCACTTGCCATTGAATAAATTACGCCACTCCCATAGTCTTAAATACAAAAGTCGTTAGCACTTACTTAATGACCTTTGTGTGGAATGCTAAGTCCCTGGAAAGTTGTATCCCGGAAGAAATACGTAAAACCAAACCAATATTAATGGCCCAACCTTTCCTTGTGATAAGAAAAGGTTATAATGTTGTGGTAGTTAGTGTGTTGGTAGTTTTGATAAGGATGGATCGGGAAGAGTATTTAGTTAACTACATAACCATAACCTACACCGGTCTTAATCTTTAGTTTAACATACGAGTACATCTCGTTTCCTTGCTTTGTGAGTGAATTAGTTTGAGTGCTCCACAAAGTTTATCTTTTGATGTAGGTTGATCTGCCACCTGCAATCTGCATCCCATAATTCACCGAAAGGGTGTTGGTTGTAACTTCGAACAAAACTCGACCTTCCTGTGGCTCATAAATTATTTATTTTCAAAGCAGTTTTACTCTCCCTTGGAACTCCCTTGATCGATGTTTACCTGCTGGTTTTCGTTTATTTCTTCTTGTGTCATTGAGATAACATTGCTTAGGTTAAATCATAGTCTCTACACAATTGCTCTTTTTAAAGTCAAGCTGTAGATTATATGTATATAGATAGGAGTTGCAGCGGTGGGAATGAGAGGTGGAAATAGTCCCGTAAATGCGCTTAAATGATGAAACGACATCTAACTAGAAGCGACCACATCAATTTTATGCTCCTTTTACGTTACTAAAAAGATTTTTTATACACAACGAGGAAGCTCTTGGCCTGAATCTCACCTGATGGTAAGTGATGATCAGGCTGAAGATGGAAGCGATATATAGCTATTATAGTCAAGTTCCCACTGCACCTTTTGTGTGGTCAGGATTTACTGCTTGACCACCTCTAAACCTGATAAATTAATGTTGAGTTAGTCCCAAAGGAAAGTGAAACTGTCATTGAATCCGCAACTAAACTTATCAGATGAAAATTTGGAAACTTTGAACCGACCTCCCTCTAGAGCAAAGCGACTGACAGGTGACAAATAAAGGTATTATACCCTTTTATAAAAGGGACACATTAACCCCCATTTTGAACGTGCCCTTATTACGCAAGCTATTAACTAATATTTGTGGCAGAAACATTAACTACTGTACCTTTTGTGCTACTCGTAGTTAATTATCCTACCACTATCAATTGAACCTGACAGTAGGGCGCCGAACGCTTCAAAAGAAATCTATTACGCTCCTCAGTTTCCCCGAAATTGTAGTGACGTCATAATTGTAACAGCACTTCAACGCTGGGTTTACTGGTAAGTAGCTGAGTCGAACTTTCTGGTAACTTTATTCATTACCTGGCGATTCAAATGCCTTCCAGCTTAACACTTTAGTGTGGATAATCTTAATATCAAGCTATTGTCTTGAGCGAGAGGGCTTTCTCCGGCGTCGATTTACGCTGATAACAGTTGATAACGCTGTCGCGGCACGTACCGGTATAAATTTAAACCCTCCATTCCAGCATTTTCCATCATCATAATGGCGATAGAAGCGGAATTATGCTTACGTTCACAATGCGATCTCACAATTTCAGAAATTAGACTGCTTTCACTACGGATTTTTGAATTAACATAACAATAGAAATATTGAATACATTGATTACTCGGTTCTCTGTTAAGAATAGGTTTCTAATATAATAGGTACCTTTTATTAAAGCTCCTTAGGTTTTCCATGTTAAGTATTCAGTTTAAAGTTAGGTAATGTACCTACTCTGTTTCTAAGTGAAATGGAATGTGCTAAGTATTACATTAAAAAAGTTGTAGAGGTAAAAAGTACTCCTACATTTTGCGGAAATAAAAGTACATTAAAAATATTCGTAAACATGTACACCTTTAAAGTGAGGTCGTCAGCGTCGTCTTCTTAATTAATTACTTAAACATAGTTTAACCCGCTAACTCTGTAAATTGCTGTCACAAGTAATTTCACGGGCCTCCAGTGGCGTGCAATTCTATTAATCGCTCTACTATTTTCCCCGAAAACATTTGTCGTACCTGCACGAATACGACACAAAAACACGACAACAAAAAATAGAGTCCAGCACTGTAATTTTATTTACATTGTAATCTGACACTCAACAGACTTTTATTTTTCAGAATAAAAGTATTTTTTAGTATTCGTGCTGACAATCTACGCTTGTATCTACGTTTGACCGTTTCCAATGTAAAACAACAAAGGACACTAAACAATAGGCGGTAAAGCACGCTATGGATAAACCAACGCCGTGGATTAATATTCTATCGCCACTTCTAAATTGTCTTGCAAAGCCGCGCCACGTGCAACATAAATACGTTTAACTCTGCTACAGAAATGATACAAATAAACATTATTCAGCAACTTGTTGTTTATTCTTGATTTTTGTTCGTCGCTTCCTATTTCCTGGCTACATTTATTTATTGGTTATCTTTTTCAGTCAAAAGATAAAACTTATTAGGTATTATTCATTGCTATACTTATTGTTTTAAAGTTAACCTATATTTTAGGTAGGTACTTACATAAAACTTTCAAGCAAATTATCTCTGTTAGGGAACATACTACGTACGCTATTAAAGTGTGAATCTCCGGTAAGCTCCGGTGGCGCGTGCTATCGCGGCGCTACGTCCTCATAATCATCAACGGACTACGGGTAAACTACACCGCTACGGCTACTACGGTTGCTACGACCATAATGCAACTCTATATTATATTGATAATATCGTACTTGCTCGCATCTAATTGAAACATGAACCCTTCCGCCGTGTTTGTTATTGATTTGACAAAATCTTAGGCCGTGCATACAGGCAGTAGTCCGGTAGCAGTTGTTTTTGTGATGGACACGGCATCATAGGAAACCATAAGTATTGTGTGTGGCAGAGGAAAGCAGACTATTGTTTGTCCATGTTACTGTCCGCAACTGTCAAGTTTAAGTTTCTAGTTCCGTACCTACACCAAATACATATTGTTGTGACCCGAATGTGTCAAGTGGAAGCAACTTCACATGGACACAATTAGTGTCTAGTGTATACGTCTCCGCATGCTAGTTGATCTCATACTTCGCTTGATTAACGCCATTAGGGGTGAAAAAAATATATTCTGCTTAAAAAATATAGAGCAGACGTGCGCTCGCGGCTCCAGCCCCGGATAAAGTAGTTGTATAAAGTCCATGTGCTCAAGACACAAGAGCTACATTCGCTCAACTCTTTCTATGGCTTTCTTTAGTATCTATATTTAGTTAGTAAATGTGGTTATTAGAGGCCTACTTAAGTAAGATCCTTGCAATACGAGTACAGGGACTAGACTAGTCCCGTATAATGCCTTGTATTTATTATGGCACGTACCTGCGGTAGGATTGCGGCGCGACCGTCCAGCTTCGGCGCGAGCGCAGCACAAGCACGACCCGAGGCGTGGAGCCGTGCGGGTTGCTCACTGTGTCACCGCTGTTAGTTGTATCAAGTCCATGTACTCAAGGCACAAAAGCTACATTCGCTCAACCCTTTCTATGGCTTTGCTTAGTGTCTATGTTTAGTTGGTACCTGTGGTTATTGGAAGCCTGGCTAACTTAGATCCTGGCTATACAGGAGATGCAGTGATGGGAAAGAAAGGTCAGATTAGTCTCTTATATTTTACGACGCCCGCGCGGTTTTATACGAAAGTCCCCCGCGCGGGCACCCGCGTATTGCCCTCGTATAACCGAGTGGGCATCCGTTTAACGCAGTTTCGTGCCTTAGTGTCTATGTTTAGCTAGTACCTGTGGTTATTGAAGACCTAGCTAACTTAGATCCTGGCTATACGAGATGCAGTGGTGGGAAAGAAAGGTCAGACTAGTCTGTTATAATGCCTTATATTTTACGTACCTGCGGTAGGACTGCGGCGCGACCGGCCAGCTTCGGCGCGAGCGCAGCACGAGCGCGACGCGCGGCGTGGATCCGTGTGGATTGCTCATCTGTGGTGCCGACGTGCGCTTGCGACTCCAACCCCGGCGGCCGCTGTTGGCACCCCACAGGTGGGCCGTGCCGTGTTCTGAGAAATAATGGTTAAGTTAGTCACAATGGAGTAGATGTCACCGTAAGTCAATTGACGCACTTTTTAAACTAGCACTGTTTTGCCAACTTTTTTTATCAAAGTGACTATTATAATAAATCTAAATTTATAAAAGCGAAAGGTCACTGACTGACTCACTCATCACGAAATCTCAGAAAAATCTTCCTCGTTGTGGATAAAAACATGCTAGGAGTCTTAAATTTTGCACGGGGGTTCCTTCTAGGACGTAGGTGCTCACTAAGACGGGATTTTACAAAATTCTTCACCTAAGGGGGTAAAACGGGGTCCACGCGTACGAAGTCGCGGGCAGCCACTAGTCAGTGATAACTGTTATACTAACTGAAGTGAACATTTTCCCAGAAACTAAAATATAAAATCATACTGAGAAGCTAAAAGGATAAATCCCCGCGTAAATACGAGGCCATCACAACATTGTGAACATAGGCAATTCGGTATCAATTTTAGGCAGCCTTATTTGTTTGCAAGATTGCCAATTTCTGTCGACATGGAGTAGGTACAAGCTTCGTTAGGTCACATGGTCTAGCTAACCAACGTTTAGGCTGGGTTGCACGGTCTTACTTTAACTTTGACAAAGGTCAAAAATCTGTCAAACTCCATACAAAATGCACCAGTTAGGCAACTCAGCCTTAGTCTCATGGCAATGATAACAATGAGACTTAGGATTAATATTGTATGATTAATTAATCACCTAGGGCGTCTGTAGTGACGAACGTAGGTATTTTAGTATATTGGCAACAAAACTTACAGGGTTGAATATCACAACACTAAACCGCCTTTGCCTTTTTACCTATTCTAAAAAACTGTCCTCTATGTTATCTGGAAGAGATCGATATAGCGATAAGCTCGGCTAAATTGTTCCCTATCTTTTGTATTTTTCTCTCTTTTCTTGTCTTGTGTGGTGTACAATAAAGTTAGTGTGTTATATCTATCTAAACATATTGCAAATAAAAACATGAACAAATAAACTTAGCACCTAGCACATGAGACCTAGCACCTGCATGGCCTCAGGGATTTCGTAAATGGAAAGAGATAAACTAAAAATGTAGTAATGAAGAACAACTCTTTCGAATAAACTTTTTTGCCGAACGTTTTTCACTAAAAGCTTCGAGCACTGATTAAAATTACAGATAAGCTTACTTTATTTTGAGGCTTGTAGTAATCCTTTTATAAAAACTGAGTGACAAAAATTCTTAATTTATTATACGTATAAAAAATACTGTTTTTCATTTCATAACTGGATCTGAAAATGAGATTATCTTCACGTGAATTATTGTTATCTTGTCATTATTGTAAAAACAAAGCTTCACAACATAACCTAGTTTTATAACGTCATTGAGACATGAATATAAAACTAAATACGATTATAAACAACGGTTACTATGAAAACAGTTTGCATAAACATTTCGTGGAACACGCACTCTATTTAATATAACTGTTATTGGACAGTATAATTGTTCTGACTAATACTGAAAAGTTGATTATAATGTTAGGGTACTTCATCTTTTATCGATCTATGTAAAAATAACATTTAACTTATTGTTTTATAGCGAGTTTTATTTTGGTCAAAATTGCGGGGTAAGTTACATTTTCTATAATGAGCTTATCAAAAGCTTTCGTCCATATTAAGAATTTTCAAAGTTCACAAATATCTTGTTATATTATACATAACAATTTCTAATTTAATATCACCTTGTCCTGTATTTGACTTCAAACAAAGCTATCTGTTATTACATTTGCTTCAAATGTTTGACTTTAACCGCCAACTATCAATTCTCGTAACGTTAATGTGGGCTGGAATCTGTCTCAGTTCTTAATACGAGTATTACTGTGTAGAATATTAATTTTCCTGAACATGACGTTTAATTAATAATACCTACTCGGCTGTCGAGTCAAGCATATCTTCTAAAACAAGTGACAAACCAATATCAATGAGATAGCATTCAGGTTTAAATAAATCAGCGACGGGAGACCGATGAATAAATGCTGACTGCGAAGATAGGATCTGTCCTATTGGAGACAAAGACTTGCAAAAATAACTAATTTACTACGAGTGGGTAGGACTTTAATTTAAGCTCATAACATAAGATGACACATATGACTTTGTTATTAAATTCCTTATAATCGAATACTCACAGGGTTGAAATGTACTCTATAATTAACATGAGTTAAGTTTTGAACATCATCGTGTTAAAATATCATCCCTTATTTATTTATAACTTTGTAACTCGTGTCACATGCTGTTTCCTCAATCAAATATTTATATTTATAACATACACGCGTGTCACTAATTAATGGTAATATTTACCTAAGTCATGCTTTTATGTCACATCGTAGGCCCAACTCACTTGGACGACAAGTAAATAAACAAAGGCCAGTAAACACTTCTGGTCCAAGAAGTAGAGTTAGACGCCGATAATTAGTTTGTTAATTAGTTCGTCTTCCAGCTGGGGTACAGTGGTCAGAAGTAAATTCCCAGTTTGACCAGAACAATTAAGGCTTGAATCAACGAGATTATCCGATAAGAACATAATTTTATGCTTCGGAAGCCACATTAAGTACATATTAGTTAGATTATATCCTTAATAGTTTAATGCGATTTTGTTACACTTACAGCTGACGCCTACGGTACAAACAAATTGAAGGCAATAAAAGTTTATATTTTAATCCTGTTTATATCAAAGAACACCTTTAGGTAATACCTCGTATCCATAGCTGGGCATTAACTCGTTAATCCGTTAATCGTTAATTAACGAAGTTAACATTTCCATTAACGGATTAACTTTTAAGTTAACTTTAAAAAATGTTAACGGACTCGTTAACTTCCGTTAAATTATCTTAAGTCCGTTAATCGTTAATCAAGTACCTACTATTTACTAAAACGATACAGCAGGCACGCTGAAAAACACTAGAAAAACGCGTTCTGTCTGACAAGTACGTTCGGGCTTCCAGAACTTCCAGAACCCAACAACAGTTTATGTAACCAAAAAGAAACGATAAAAATGCTATTTATTTATTTTTTATTTATTTACAAGCATAAAACTTCACTTGTTAGTATGTGTGGGACAAATCTTGCAACTGAATTTAAGACCAGTGTTCTCCTCAACCGATTAAGTTGCAATTTGGTATATATTATGTAAGTACGATGAAAATGCAATGTTGTGGTACCATTGAGCTGGTCTAATGATGGAGTCAGGAGGCGGCCATAGGAACTCCTAAATGAAACGGCGGAATCGCATCGAATTTGGGTTTGTTGGATTTGTCTTTTCGAGCACATTGGTGCTAAATTGTATTGTAATTGAACCAAGGCTCTGAGATTGAGATACTATAGAATAGACTAAGAGATGGTGAACGCCAGACCAACGTCATTTTATAAAAGCTGAAAGTTTGTCAGCGTATGCTCCCAATATAGGTTAGAATGTTGGTGGATTATGAAGTTTGGGTCATCGTGGCTTTGGCAGCTATCCTAAAAAAAACTGTCTGGCAGTGGAGTTGGAACTTTCAAAACAATCTGGCTAAAAAGAGGAATAAATTCCATGCGCGATACAAGCTTTCGAAATTATTTGAACCTTGCATACAATTATTTTTTTCGTTTTATTATAATGTGTTAACGGATTAACGATTAACTTTAACTTGCGTTAACTCTTGCTAAATGTAACGTTTTAACGTTTAACGAAGTTAATTTTTTTATTAACGGTTTAACGATTAACGAAGTTAACTATTTGATTAACGGTGCCCAGCTATGCTCGTATCTATCTACTCAACGTTTTCTAACTCAACTACACATCGAAATCCTACATTTCCCTTACTTTGAAGCGCTCTACTATGGAGTGGGGTTAGCTCTCAATACATTCAATTGAAAGACGGTCGTGTTTGTACTTAGGTGTGTTTCATTCAAACAAACTAGTTTGGCTCTACAAAATGTACATCACTCTGTTTGAAACACGATAAATCGCTGTAATTAACTTTCTCAAACAAATAACTTTAGTATTATTATAAATATGAGGTCTCTTATCCTTTAGCTTAAAATAGCACTAAACACTAAAATCGTTTAGGCGATATTAGAGGCCACAGAATGGCGTTAATCAACTGGCGGCCAGTTTACAGCTTATTGATCCCTGCCAAGCTTTCATCGCCTTTTTACATGCAAATTAGCTAACATTAAAGCGTAAAAGACGTAGCATAAAGCAGCCTAACCATTCCTTTTAAAATTCAGCCTTTTGAAAACGTCACGCCTGAGCTATAATCCTGTAATCATGAAAAACATTATTAAACGTTAAAATAACGTGTCAACGAGAAATTATAAGGTACGTAGATACACGAGTTAAGGGACACGCACTACGGACTTATATAAATGCATCATTATGCAGACGATTAACTAAATAAAACTAACTAAACATAACTAAATTCAAAATTTGAAGTTTAGTAAACTAACTGTAAAATCACATCAAATCTTGTGGGTCTTGCTGTATTCAATTAAAGCGTGTATTTACGAACGAGATCACTTTATTAGTAAAAACTTAAAACAAACTATAACCACGCTATAACTCACTTTTAAGGCACATTTCTTGATAAAAAGATTTGATTTTATACCTTCCGCTATAACACATTTATTTCGGTTTAGTGTTATTCCGTAGAAATAAAAACTGTTGCGCGTATTTTCCCCTCAATGGCAATAAATCTCAATAAATCATTCAGTCGTAAAAGTCGGTTCCTTAAGTGTTTTAAACAACCCTACTTCCCGACCGATGTTGAAAATACGAGTACATTCGCTATACAGTCAACCTTTTGAAATGAGAAGTACTACTTATGCATATCAGACTTACATTTTTGTTGCAAAATAGACCATAAATTACAACGAAATAAGACGCCACTGTGTTTAGCTTGATGTGCTTTCATCCATAACATAAGCCTTCTAGAACATTTAAATAAATTCTCAGTCGCTAATTTGAAACTGATTCATATAGATGAGATGATGTTAACCGCATGTCACATTGAAACGAAATGCACCGTACTACATGTACTAGCGGCTGCCTGTGACTTCGTACGCGTGGACCCCGTTTTACCTCTTAGGGGTTGAATTTTGGACCCCGTTTTATCCCCTTAGGGGTTGAATTGAAAGTCTTAGTGAGCACCTACGTTCTAAAAGGAACCCCCATGTTAATTTTGAGACTCCTAGAACTTGTAGTTTCTGAGATCAGTGAGCGAGTCAGTCAATCAGTCAGTCAATCAGTCAGTCAGTCAGTCAATCAGTCAGTCAGTCAATCAGTCAGTCCGTGACCCTTCGTTTTTATAGATATAGATGATAACCGCATGTCACATTAAAAGCAAATATACTCATATACAAACGATAAACCTTCAAAGACGAGAAGTGAAATAAGAAATTTGATCATTTAATCTACTTTGACACACGCAACGAGGGTCGCGATATCCCACACAGCGTCTCAGATACTTGCATTTCATCCTATCTCAGACCTTTGTGGCAGTCAAAGCCAATCTCGTACCAATGGCCGTTCGTCTGAATATTTTCGTGTAATAATAACGATTTGATTTCTTTTCATCCTTTCAAACGTGAAGCTTGTCAAATGCAAACAGTTAGATTGTTATGGACAAGTACATCCCATCAAAAACAATACTTGTCAAAAAAACCAAGTCTCGCAACTCAGTTGTTCTACGGTAAAAAGTTGTGAGATCCATCCATGTAATACCAAGTCCAGGCCAGGAAATCTTTAACGTTTTACATAAATATATTGACTTGGCCATCGCACTGATTAAAAACAAAAGTAAATTTCAACTTATGAAAATACATATTCATTGTCGGATTAGCTTTCTATCATGATCTCGTAAGGCTGCGTTTCCACCAGAGATGTGTGAGGATGCGTAGCGAAGGATGTGTTTGTAAAGAACCAATAGAATCGCTTCATTTACCTCGCCTCGGTCAGCACATCTCTGGTAGAAAAGGCTCAGGCTGTACAACACTAATGAGCATTTTCAAATCTCTGCTACACATCCTCGTACGATACATTTTCCTCGCACAGCTTTGGTGGAAACCCGCACACATTTTCACAGCACAGCTAGACATCTTCGCACGACACAATTCCCTCGCATATCTCTGGGAAACGCAGCATCCTCTCCCTCCCCCAAGGATCTCCACAATGTGCCCGCATCCAGGTTCTTCCCGCGACCTTCACCAGATCGTCGGTCCACCTAGTGGGAGGTCTGCCAACATGCTGATAACATGTTCCATCGTAATAAACTTCTTTCCGATATAATTTAATAAAGAAAACACTTAAAATGACCTAAAACCACAATTTTATTTTGCTTTTCACACGTCAATAAGCCAGTGAGTTACGTTACTTTGACAGCGAAGGTATTTTTCGATGACATCTTTGAAAATTGCAACTCATGGTAAGTTATTTGTATGAAACTTAATAAAAACTTTAGTCGCTATCGAATTTATTTAGATAGGTTTTTTACCTAACGATTTGAGATGAACTCATGGTAGTGTTTTTAGTTTTGCTGTGGTTCAGCTACTAACCGCTAGAGGCGCTGTACAATTTGCCATACATTTTTTTACGCCCTCGATAGCGAGATGCTCGGTAGGTAAACTCATGGTAGAGGCACCGTTATAATTCTTAAACTACTGGTTCAAATTGAATGAAATTTTAAATATACCGTGTCTTTACAATGCCTGCATAGCTAATGAAAAATCAGCCTTTTAGTTTTATCCACAACGAAGTTACAGGCGGTCGAAAATGGCCTGAATTGCTTCGAGAAAAGGATGGTACGGCCGTGCCGCTTTTTTGCTCGACTTGGTGGGGGCACTGCCGTGCCCCCAGATTTCAATAAGCTTTCCAAAAGAGAAGACATTGGCGACTAAAAGAATTTCTTTTGACATCACCTTGAATGAAAAGCAGTAGTGCGGTAGCACAAAAATATTGAAAATGGAAAGGATGGTAGCCAAAAGTTCCTTTATCTTTTTTTTTTTGGGTATTACAACACTGTTTTATGAGGCGCAATAAGCTTCCGAAGCTGATAACATGTTTTTCATCGAACAATCGTGAAAATTAAAATGCAATATCCTGCTAACTAAAAAGAGGACAACTGAACAAAAGTATTTTTTGAGTTTTTTGATAGTAATTTCAGATCATGTGGATCAAGAGTGATTTTCAAGTTGCATATTATAATGTTGTTACTTGTCTAGTCGGAGTACACTTTTGTTTTTACAAAATAGCACCTATTACACACTGTTCAGCTTAATATTATGGTTCAAGGCATTCCTTAATTTTAGCATAGGTTATAGGAAATCATAATAAACTTACGCAAATGCATCGTAGGATGCGGCCCTTGCTCGGAGCACGCGCGCCGCCCGCGACCGCTCATCAGAACCTCCCTGCGCGTGCGCTCGACTGTGACGTCAGACGCGCCCGCGTCTACGCATGGGCCGCCGCCCTCCTCGCGGCCTTCCTCGACCACGCACGCAGACATCACTATCTTTTGTCACTAAGCAATGGCACTACACAATCTGCCACAAAATGTACAAAATTTGAGTTAGGACACTATTGTTTCACTAGTTCTGCATGATAAAAGAGTTAGGGCACTATCGGTTATTGCACTTCACTTGGTTTACGTCACTCTGTTTGTTCACTGCATATCTTTTTTTATGTTCACATAGCACTAAGTACGAAAGTTTTTAATAGTCTCTTTACTGTTCACTCAAGAAGAAGGAGGAATCTGTAAAAAATATTTAACAAATTTTACTTATTATCTAAATTGATCCAAATAAAGCTCTTATATCTACTGCAGTTTCAAAAATGAAAAATCTTTGATCGTAATTGATACTTTCAACTAATTTTACTGCCACTAATCCAACACAATGTCGCCGACAGAAAACCGACTCACAATGCCGCTGAAAAATATAATCCATTATGTTTTGGTCACCCGTCGAATGACTATATTGTTTAAGCCCTGCAATTAAAGCGGGTTCAATAGAGGTTCTGTTGTAACTACGCGAGTGCAAACGTTTGCCTCGCGGCAACAGTGTCGTAATGAAGCCAAATATTTTCACACCTCGGCCATCGCCCGTTTACAGCCGATTTCAACCTTTATTAAGATTAACCCCCTTGATATAAACGCACACATCCACCATTATCACGGGGAAATCAAAGTGCTATAACCATTTCGTTTACTGACATTCTCAATGCTGTGAGCGTTGTGGAAATTACTTCCATTTCCTTTACAACATCAAAAACAGGTAAACAAGTGCTTGAACAAACGGTTTACTTAACACGTTTTTGCTAACATTTTCTCTTGAATAAAGGGTTGGTTTACCAAAACAGTGAATAGTAGTACAATTTACACAGACCTATTTTGTTTATTTTTAGCAACTCACCTTGTCTAAAAGTCAAAGAAACCGAAATACTAGAATGAAAATCTACACCAAATTGACTGCTAATTGATTGAATAATAGTGTGGAGTTATTTTCCAATCCTAATTGACTGAATATTATTATATCCAATTCAAAATTGCCCATGTATTTATTATAGGTACTCGTACTTCTCAATTCTACTAGGTAGACAGACGATCTGGTGAAGGTCGCGGGAGGCGCCTGGATGCGAGCGGCGCAGGACCGGTCTTTGTGGAAATCCTTGGGGGAGGCCTTTGTCCAGCAGTGGACGTCTTTCGGCTGAAACGAACGAACTTCTCAATTCTAAGACATTTTATAAATCAACTTACCTCCAATATAACTACGCATAAAAGGTTCAAGTTGGAACGCCGATATTGGCTAATAAAGTCAGTTAAACTTGAACATTTTTACATAACGTCTGCAAAGTCAAATTTCATTCATTCAGTTGGAATACTCATTTTATTAGAAGAAAACAAATTTTATGTAACTATGAAGTGAGTTTTGTACCTAGTTAAAAATAACTGTTAAAACGATAACGAGTAGGGTAAACAACTTTTTCTACCAAAAAGTTGTTATCGATTCAGCCAAAATGTTGCAGTTTTTTCTCGCTTACATTGATAGAAACTATACCTACCTGAGCTACACTGTGACATGAATACCAAAAACCACATGAAAAATTGTTTTTACCTCCATAGCGTAAAATCTTTAAAGAAATAAAAACTCATTCATAAAAGGCTAAAGTTTGTGAGTGTGTAGGTATGTTAATTTGCTGCTTCTTCTTAACGTCTAAACGGCTGGAGTAATTTTAATAAAATTTGGTTTAGAGTTAGTAGACACCCTGTATTAACACATAGGCTACGTTTTGCCGCGGGTAACATCGTGGGGCACAGTTAGTCTAAAAATAAATACCGAACCTGTACGAACTTTACAGCAGGGTTTGTTAAGCCAGCATTATAGACTGGTCTGTGTGCCTACCATGAGTTTACGTTAGGTGAGCTCGCTAGCGAATACGTCAAAAAATTATATGAAGATTGTATTTCTTGAAAGTAGCCGCTAGGGGCGCTGCACAATATGTCATACATTTAAATGTCATTTTTTTACGCAGTCGCTAGCGAGCACACCTAACGTAAACTCATGGTAGGCACACTGGTCAATAAGCCAGTGAGTTACGTTACTGTGACAGCTAAGGTATTTTTCGATGACATCTTTGAAAATTGCAACTCATGGTAAGTTATTTGTATGAAACTTAATAAAAACTTAAGTCGCTATCGTATTCAATTAGATAGGTTTTTTACCTAACGATTTGAGATGAACTCATGGTAGTGTTTTTAGTTTTGCTGTGGTTCAGCTACTAACCGCTAGAGGCGCTGTACAATTTGCCATACATTTTTTTACGCCCTCGATAGCGAGATGCTCGGTAGGTAAACTCATGGTAGAGACACTGACCATTGTTCGGAGACACTCGTCTGTTTTCGTCCCGCCAATTGATCCGCCTGCGACCGTTTGAGGAGTTTTCGTAATTATCTCAGAAACTACAAGTGCCAGGAGTCTCTGCATGGGGGTTTCTTTTAGAACGTAGGTGCTCATTAAGAACGGATTTTACGAATCTCCACCCCTAAGGGGGTAAAACGGGTTCCACGCGTACGAAGTCGCTAGTGACGTATATTATTGAGTTATGTAATATAGGATTAAATATTACCTAAATTAAGAAACTTAATAATATGTTCATTCATGTGGAACTTGGAATGCTTATAATTACTAGGAATGTTATGGTTGATTTACTTTTGGGACAACACATGAAATATCTTCATTCCCTAGCAACTCCCAGATACTGAGCGGCAGCTCTAGAGGAATAATGAATAGATAGGTCCTACACTTGTAGGCTTATTGAACAAGATCATGGCAAGTATCCAAGACCAAGTATTATGAAATATAGACTTCTTAGAATAATAATAGCTAATTTATAGATATAGGTTTCTTTCTTTCTTATGGGGCAATTTACATGTCTCCTTATCTTTTGGGCCCTACAAGGGCTTCGAGACAAACATATGGCAAATTATATGAATTATATTAACAATTTCAGTATTTCTTAATTTACAAAGGAAAATAATTGGTTTGGCACAAACCACCAGGGCAGTGACCGGCTCCCTTCGATACTTGCACGCAACCACAGGCGTTCGATAATTAATAATCCTCAAGCGGGAAGCAAGGACTGTCTAAACCAGTGGTGCCCAAACTTACACCAACTCTACAGCGACCCTTGAGACTGGCAGGTAGGTACTTTAGCAAAAGTACTAACGGGGGTTCTAAACGTACAATTAGATTCCATAAAGAAGTAGGTTCTACGATGTTAGCCTAGTCATAGACTTTTGCTTTTTACGAATGAAAAATTCACCGTACTCGTAAATAGGTTCAAGAGATGAAAGGGCTAAACGTATGTGCGAATATACTAAAATATCCTGGCCCCCCGCCAGAGGTCCACCCAAAACCGAAAAACATGACCAATAAGTTTGAGGATGTTTGATTTAACCGGTAAACCTTCATCAAATAGTCTTACTCTGCCTCCAACACATAATCACATGGGACAGTGATTACCTTAAATACGCAGAGGTGTCTATTTTCTTCCACTATTAAACTGTTTTGATCAAGCTAATAAATAAATCCCACATATATTTCGAATGTAAACGTAAATGACAGATACCACTAGCTGTCCCATTTTTGATCAAGTGAGATAAGTTTGTATTGACGTGGGTAGGCAAGTTTCAGGTACCCTTAGGCTGAGTTGCACCACCTAACTTTGACCGTAACTATGACGATAACCGGTGTTTTTTGTATGGAGTTTGACAGATTTTTGACGTTTGTCAAAGTTAAAGTAAGATGGTGCAACCCAGCCTTAGCGATGAATAAATCATGACAGTCTCTTGTCATGCAAACACTATGGACGTAAGTGAAGCTAAAAGAAAAGTTAACAACAAAAACATTTCAATTTGTGATCGATATCCAATGAAAAATTCAAATGACGCGTGACGGGATGGCGCTAGGATCCAGTGATGGACAGTTTGACATTTGTATCGTCAGCACTTAGGTTTTATAATAATGAGACAACGACTGACACTGACTGACTGACTCCATCACCATTAATGAAAACAAACTTATCGCCTGAATTTCAATCAATTGCAGTAACATCGACATTTTGTTTTCACTAATAATCTCATAACCTATTTAACTTGAATCTAAATAAAGAAAATATTTCAAACAATGATCCGATGATACGATTGTTAAACCGTAAAAAAGTTTTCCTTTTACATGGGATCGTTAGCCATATCTGCTTTATGTAAATGTGTATTAGCATAATGTAAGCGGTTTGCTCGCTAATCGGTGCTAGATAGTATTTGTGGAACAATCTCTATTGTTATGTACCTGGGTTATAGATCTTTTTTATGATTGATGAACTTAATAATAATGTAAGTAAATATTATTATATTGTTAAACTAGCGACCGCCCGCGACTTCGTACGCGTGAATCCCGTTTTACCCCCTTCATCTATCTTGCGTGAATTAGATTTTTTTATACAAATGTTTTTTCCCGCTAACTCCCGATCCCGTGGGAATTTTGCAATATCCTGTTGTAACTAAGCTTTAAGTTTACTAAGATACCTGCATGCCAAATTTCAAGCGTCTAACTTAAGCGGTTTTAGATTTTTCATACAAAATGATTTTCCAGCTAATTCCCGTTCCCGTGGGAATTCCTAAGTATACTATAACCTGCCCAGGAGTATGAAGAATAATTGTACCAAGTTTCGTTAAAATCCGTCGAGTAGCTTTTGTTTCTATAAGAAGCATAGGTACAGACAGACAGACAGACAGACAAAAATTTAACTGATTGCATTTTTGGCATCAGTATCGATCACTAATCACCCCCTGATAGTTATTTTGAAAATATATTTCATGTACAGAATTATTATACCTAAGTATAGATAAACTATTCTACACAAAACTAGTTGAGTAGAAAGAAACATTCAAACATCTGAAAAAGAATCGCATGTCTGATTGTTTGAACAAAATTACATCTTGCAATAGAGTTAGGGGTGTCGATACCAAAACGGAGCGAAACGTCGTTAATTGCGTTACAGCACGCACGTAATGAGTAACTTGCGTCAATCGAGTGTTGTGAATTGCAAAGTCCCGACGTGACCCAATAAAGAGGCTCACAAGTATAGCGAGAAGGCTTAACCCCGTTAATGTACCGTGTGAGGCACGCATTAATCTCCAGTGCTGCGGCATCGCTAATACTTTTTAATAGGCCGCGCTTAAACTAAAGAAAGATT